TGCTAAATAGCGTGAACAATAAGTATTAACTGTGGGATGAAGGGCTGGGGAAGCCTTCGTAGATTTTAGAGTGTATCCTCTAAAATCAGCATTTACTTAAGTAGTGCTGTCACTGTCTCCATATGTCTGAAACCTCTCATGGGACTGCCTTCTGTCACTTGTGAGCCTCAGCAGAGCAGCAACTAATGAGTGTGTCATGAGCAGAGTGATACTGAGCACCAGAGAGTTAGACAAGGAAACCTGAGACATGGTCGTGGCCCCTAGGTGCCTATTGTCTAGGTGGGAAAATAAAACACGTCCACAAGACCATCCAGGTCAACATAGGTCCAAGAGCCAAAGGCAGTCAGGCAGCAACTGCAGTGGAAGTCTATGCTGGAGGATCAGGGAAGGCTGTGCAGCGCTCAAGGGCTCCACGCTGCATCTGGAAAGATGATTAGACTCTCACTAGGCAGAGAGAGGGCAAGAAACAAGGGAAGATAGGATTTTAGAAATGGGCATAATTTGACCAGGAAATGGAGAGAAGACTTAGTTCATAGCCAAAGTGCAGGCAAATTTAGTAAATGAGTAATTCCAGAAATGACAGGGAGAAGAAATTACTATTTGGTTTATTTTTCTTAAGTTTAGATTTTTCCTTTTAACTGACACTGGGTATTAAGAGAGAATACTAGCAAAAGGCTAAGCATAGGATCTAACACATGGTAAAAGCTCAATACATTTTAGCCATTAGTATTATTATTATTTCTGGATCTCATCAGTAGTTTTCAAAATAAAATCAGTGAGAAACTGTCATACCTGCTCTTACCAAAACACCATCAGGCAGTTTGACCACCCATACCTCATTTGCTAATCTTGTTAGTTCAGAATAATTTTTGGCAGTTTCGACAATCAAATCCAACCTTGAAGTATAAAGATTTGCCACCATTGAAAATGTTTAAGAACTTGTAGCAGGTTTTGAAGGCAATTCTGAAAGTTGGGTCCTAAAATGTTTCAAGCAGCAGGATGGTATGAGGTGGTGTAAGTACACTGGCAAAGGTGGCCCCTGGGGAAGTCCTTCTTATTCCAGATATGTCGTTTGCATTGTACCCCAACTAGAATTCTGGAATAAGCACACAGTAAGGTACTTTCCCTTTATTCTTTACGTGCCAGAGAAGGTATTGGGGGTGAACTCCTCAGCTGTGCTTTTTAGAACCTACAGATCTGCGAAAGTGGTATACAAACAAAGGTCAAGAAACATTTAAGTCCAAGCCATGGGATTTGGCCAATGTTTTATTCATCTTTACATTTCCAGAGCACAGCGCAATGCCTGGACTATAGTAGGAACTTAACAGATGTTGCAAGTGACTCTGTCTGTATTGTGTCCCCTACAGAACCAAGTTGTTGTTGCTGCTGGAAGGAGTTCTTTGGGAGCCCGACTATCTGGGGCACTTCACATCTATAGCCTCGGCTCAGATTAAAGATTTCACTCCATTTTCCCACTCTGCCTCTCCCTGTTGTGTGTTGGGTCATCTCCAGGATGAGCATTCTGGTGAACAAAATGGCACATCCAGTGGAGCTATGGTACATCCTGAAAAGAGGTGGGGCTCTTGGGAGTAGAGACACGCACTAACAGTACAGAGGAGAAAAGTATGGGAGTGAGGGATAACCTCACACTCCCTAATCACTTCTGATGTAGTCCTCTCTTAATGAGGATTATTACTTTTCCAATGTTTTATATAGTGAAGGACAAATATAAAAACTAAAACTTTATCACCTATGCCCTCAAATGCTTTTGTAGAGACAGCTGCTGTAATAGTTGATGAACCTAGCGACTCCCCCACTAGTTTTAAGTAATCTCATGAGGGGCCTTTGTTGCATTTGTTTGCCCCAAGTTGTGCCAACAGAACTTGAGCAGAAAGGAGAGATCTGGCCTGAGCCAAAGGCTACTGTAAGGGACAAACTAAGGGAGGGACCAACAGCAGGAAGCAGGCTTTGGCTTCACTTGATCCTGGGCTATTTTTAGTGGGTAGATTTCCTCTACCAGTACGCAGTGTGGCACATTTAAGGGAAATGAACGTACCACAGGGTTTCAGCATCACTAAAAATTTGCAGTCATTATCTGTAAAGAGTAACTAGTTTATCATGTATCAGGGAAGAACCTTTTTCCTCCAACACTAGTAAAATGATACTAAAAACAGGAGAAAATAACAAGCTTTCTCAGATTCTCTAGAGGCAGAGTAGAGACTGGAGAAAAGGAGACAAGAAGAGGAATCAAGCTGAAGAGTAGAAAGTTAAATTAGAAACTGTGGCTAAGATGTGAGCATAAGGTGTGTATATACAGGAAAATAACATAAACAGGCATATCCCTAGACAGACTCTTTTCTTAAAGAGGTATGTATGCTAGCTGCATGGTACCCTATGGCATAGCAAAAAGCACATAGCAACACTGGTTTCACTTGGGTAATAATTACTGGCAGTTCAACTTATATGAAGAATTATTTTTAATTAAAAAGAAGGTTATTTTTAAGGGATCAAATTACTCAGCTGTATTCAGTTATGAGTTGAGAAGTGGAGAACAAACTGACGATACGTGACGCTGCATTTTAGTAAAGGTATGTTTTTCTCAGTACTGGATCTTTTCATCAGACGGACGCATACTTTCATATCGCCATTACCATATAAAGTCCATGTTTTAATGCTTTACTAAATGATACGGCCTGTGTTTAAACATGATCATTATTTACCTCAAGATTTATATTTTTCTAAAAGCCTGAACATCCTGGATAGCGAGCACCAGGCAGAGAAGGTTAAACTTCAAACCTATAAAGCTGAAGGCAAATTTTCAAGTTTATAGGCTATTTAGCAATACTAACCCCATTGTCAAAAACGTAAATCATACGCCTACTGATAAAGGTCAACCTATATAGCAAATACGTAAAAACCTGACACACAAATTAAAAAATTAGCATTTGACAATCTAACGTATTATCCCAATAGGTGGACTAAATTTTCATTCTAAGTATTAACTATATAGTTCTAAGCATTGATTCTGAAATGCTTAACAACTAAAATGGGAACACCTTGCAGGGGTTTAATTTCGCATTAACACAAATCTGAGCATAACTTTAACTCAAATTTATCTTTATTTCAAGATTATCAGAAAACATTTACATCCTTGCATTTTCTGTCTATCTGTATATGTAACAACTTTCTTCAAGGTTTCAAAATCACAGTTGTTTTATGCCTTTGTATCACAGGCCTAAGAGACTAGAATGACTTGAAGATAGCTTGAGAACAAAACTCAGATCTCTGGAGTCCCTATTCCATGCACCATCCATTAGATCACTTCTGCATTACTAAAGTAATGAAAGTGAATCCTAAATTCAAAGTGTAAATTTAATATTTCAATTCCAAAAAATAAAGCTGTGTACAACTCTTGGAATAACTCACTAAAATAGTTTCTTAATATAAAATTTACTAGTGGCTATTTATCACAGTCTATGTTTATCAAGAATAAAGCTTAGTGTTAATAGCATCCTAAAATGACATTTCTTCTGCCCACATTTCTTACAGGCCTTCTAAAGACAAAGATAGTCTGTCATACCTGACATGTTCAACGGGGGGGATATGTATGTTTACTTACTCACATAACCCACTGTTTGGTATTTTATCACCTTACTTTGAAATAGTAGTTAATGTGCTCAGTCTATTATTTTAGTTCAAGATTTAAAACCAATGAACTTCATATTTTTTTGGAATAGACTGTTTTATTTATGATAACTTTAATGTCAGAAGCATCCTGCAATCTTAAAAGCAGAGCTGACATTTTGAAATCATACGTGATCTAAGAATTTTGTAAACCACTAGTTAATTCCCATTATCAGACTTATGAGGTAGTTACATCATTTTCCCTTTTATTAATAGACATGACATGATTTTTCAAAAAAATTATTTTACCCAAGCTCATAAACTAAGTCAGTGACACTACAAGAAAAAATGACCAAAGTTCTATTCTATGCCTGAGCTTTAGTTATCAAATTTTGCCTTCTGGGATTCTAATTCCTTATATGTCACAGTTAAGGAGTATTTATTACCTTTATTACAGTGATAACAGAAGACCATAAATAGCAGCAGAATATTCTGAGGTGTGCCAAAGAGTGTCCTGAGAAATCTAAGTATTATCAGAGATTCATAATGCTCAACAGTGCTGTATATTTACATTCCAACAACCAAATCACAGGGCACGTTCCTGATTCACCGTGCGGTGCACAGGGGCCGCTCTGTGCTCCAAGTTTAGCCCAGTTAGTTTCATGCCAGTCTGTTCTCCAGCTTCCCACCAGTGGCTTCTCATAACCACACCCAGGAGTGGGGAAAACTTTACTTTTAACTTCATGTGATTGCTTTCAGATCAGCTACTGGAATAACATTATTATTCCTATCACCAAACCACCTGGAAAATGAACCCCTTAACTTCCTCATACAGCATCACATTAAGGTAATTGGGTATCCTCAACATCAGGGTAGGCATATTCTTTCATTACCACTACACTTGTAGTGCAAGAGCTGCTCTGGGCGCTCTGGAATCTTCCATGCATGCTAGTTTGGGTGGCAAGTTAACTGTAACATCTTGGCGCATAACCATACTGAACCTCCAGAAAACATTAAAAAGGTATGTAAGACGTTAAGATAGCAGCTTTCACATAATTACACAAATCTGATTGTGAAAACAAAAAAGTATCACAGTTCTAACATTTATCTACCCTCTTGTTTTAGGAAGCCCATCTGTCAATTTTTGAAGTATAGTATATAGATTACCTAAGCAATATACATTTTCCTTTTTTGGAGGGTGTGGTCTCAAAATCTGCACTGAAAATCAGCAGATGAACAAAGCAGCTATAAAACAGTAACCAAATGGAAATACTTCCTTTCTACTTTATTTCCAAAGGCTCTAATTATAGCCAAGAAAAGAAAAAAGTTTCAGCAGTTAAAGTAAAATCTTGACGAATTGGAATTCATATAATGCTGATATTAAATTATCTTTTCTTTTTATTCACCTAATATATAAAAGGGGGCAAATACAAAAATACAAGGTTATGTCAAGGACTGATTTTTAAAGCACAAACTTCCAGAGTTTGTTTTAAGGTCAATACATGTACATATAATGCTAGGTTTTCAGTCACCTGAGATCAGGAAATTCACATGGATTCCCTGTACTAACAAAGAACTATGGCTACCTATGTATCAAGTTCTTAGGCTTCATTCAGCATAAAACTGCACTTTTCTTGATATGTGTAAATAAAATCTATACGACAATCCGTTCTTGTGTTAAATTAATCTCTCCATGCCTTACATCATGTCTATAAAAACAATTAAAGTTTGTAGGAAATAGAATTTTGGCCTTTTACAAAGCAAGCACTTTGTTGCTTTAACTCAGAATTCTAGAAATGCAATCATGATGCCATAGTATTTCTGTCATCAGACATTATAATTTAAATATCAGTGATTTTTTTCAAGTGTCTAACTTTATAAAAGAAAATAATGAAAGAGTATTGGAAGTTTCCTGTGACAACCATAAAAAATATTCAGTATCCACTGGGTCGCTGCTAACGGTTTGTTAGGATACTCCTGCTTGATCCAAGTCCATCTGGTCTAAGGCTGTTTTTCAATTCCATGCTTCTATCTCCCAGAAGGGTCTTTTTAGGTAAAGAGGCCATCTAAATAAAGCAGGAAAATTAATTTTAGTTTGCTTCTTTCTTTTTTTTTTTTTTTTTTGAGACAGAGTCTCGCTTTGTTGCCTGGGCTAGAGTGCCGTGGCGTCAGCCTAGCTCCCAGCAACCTCAAGCTCCTGGGCTCAAGCAATCCTCCTGCCTCAGCCTCCCCAGTAGCTGGGACTACAGGCATGCACCACCATGCCCGGCTACTTTTTTCTATATATATATATTTTTAGTTGTCCAGATCATTTCTTTCTATTTTTCAGTAGAGACGGGGTCTCACTCTTGCTCAGGCTAGTCTCGAACTCCTGACCTTGAGTGATCCACCCGCCTCGGCCTCCCAGAGTGCTAGGATTACAAGCGTGAGCCACCGCGCCCGGCCTTCCATCTTTCTTAAAAGAAAAGCTAGAGTAAAATGACATCTTACGTAACTACTTAATGGAGGACTATAAGCAGTATCAGTGTATTAAATACTTATTCCAGGGGTGTCTTCGAGAAGAAACAGGAGGTAAACTTTGTATCTTTTCTCATGAGAACACTATATAAATGTTTCTTACATTTTAATTTGGTTATGACAAAGCCTTGCACCAGAATTACTAACATCTGTTTAAATGTATAATGTTTGTCAGAATGTTCTACACAAATCATATTTCTAACTTATTGTTAGAAGTATATTAACTTACTAGCACTGTGCTAATAAGAGCTTTACACATATTTCTCATTTAATTCTCCCAATAACCCTATCCAGCAGGTAGTACTGACTTAATTGACAGATGGGGAAACTGAGGGAAGTTTAGAGAAATTAACCAACTTGTAAAAGGTCACAGAGCCTGTGACAACTGGAGCCTAGGCTGTCTGACTTTAGAGCCCATGATTATGACCCTTCTGCAATGCTGCTGTGAGCCACATCCTTCTTACCACGGGAGGCCGCGGAGCTTCTAGCTGTCGTCCAAGGAATGAAAGCAAGCGTCTCCAGATGAGTCCACTTCCCATGAACATAATTCCCGTAATCAGCCAAAACACTCTATGGTCCTATAAGAGAACACAGAGTTAACTGCAATCACAAAAGGCTAGGCTCCTTAGAGATAAAATTTCCTGAACTGTTACTGCCCCAGAGTTCAAAAGAAGCCTTACATTATTCGTACAGCTCTTTTCCATAGAAAGGAACTAAGAACAGGTGCCTGCCTCAACAGCACCCAGAGACCAACAGTCAGACAATAAATCAGAAGGAAAACATGATTTTAAAAGTATTAAAAATTTTTTAATCATCTGAAAGCCAAACATAACTGCTTTTACTCTGTGTTTCCTTCCAATCTTTGTTTATATGCATATAAATTTTAATAGTCATACTCATAGAGGACACAAAATTTAAGGTCTTTGCTTGTAGCCACAGCTCCTAGATGGTGAGTTGAGGTGTGCCTGGACACCACAGCACCCCAAAATATTTTAAATCTTCAAGGGAAACAACAAAAGAATGTGTAACATAATAACAGAAACTTTTGGCCTAGGGATACTGTGAAAAAATTACTAAGTCACTAAGGGCATCATGAACCAAGAAAGTTTGGGAACCTTAGACTTACAGTAAACATTTTTCCTGACCATCATTTTCAGAATGGTAATCTTTTGCAATGCAGTGTTTCTGTTAAATGCATTATTGCACAGAATTATAGAATTTAAATTTAATCTCTCACAGAAAAGGAATCTGACCTATAGCTATGCCATTAGTTGGTTATCATACATGGACTGGTTAGCTCCAGTGATTGAGAGCTCACTTCCCCCAAGATAGCCTGTTACACAATCGATCAGCTATCACTGATGTAAATTCATGTCATTTATTGAGCAGAAATTTGCCTTTTAAAAATAAAGTTAGATGTTAGACATAAGAAATTAGGAAAGTAAGTGTTAACATAAGTTATTTTTGGATGGTGAACACATTTCCAGTTATCCAAAATAGGACCCTAATTAAGTAAAAATTCTATTTAAATAGGATTTGTTAGCTACCTAAGAGCTATTAAAAAAAGAAAAAATATTTTTAAAAATACGATTTGACATACAAGGTTATTGTTGTTCTTCACTTTAGATAGGTTATGTAGCTCCCTACAAATCAAAAGTCTGGGAAGGTCAAATGTGATAAAATTGAGAGGTAAGCTAAGTCAGAGGCAAACCAAGCTTAAAATATCATGTGCAATTAAATATATACAGCACACAGTGTGAGACCTCTAGGACAAGCAGTCCCTGACCTTTTTAGCACCAGGGACCGGTTTCATGGAAGACAATTTTCCCACGGACCAGGATGGGGTGGGGTGTTGTGGGTGGGTACAGCAGGGTGATGCGGAGCTCAGGCAGTGATGGGCAGCCCCTTTCCTAACAGGCCATGGACAAGTACCAGGCCACGGCCCAGGGGTAGGGACCACAGCTCTAAGAAATCCAGGAAAGGGACAAGCTTCGAGAGCCAGAAATTTAATGCTCCCTCTGCTATGGATATGCCCTTCAGTACTGAGGGTATGCGCCTTGTCTAGTGTTTAACTTCTTTCACTCTTGGGACCCTGTATCACCCCCGTTTATCTACATCACCTAGAAATAGTTTGTCTAGCCTGGAATATCTGGATGGGCCAAAGGCTACAAAAGCACTAAAAGCTGATGGGGACATAGGAAAAGTACCCAGAAGCTAGTGTGAAAGGGATAATTTGAGCATCAAAATAATAGTAGTAATAGATTATAACTCACTAAAACAAGACTCCATGAATCCATACTGATATAAATGAATAAGTAGGAGAAAAGGGAACACTCTACTTTACAATACAATGTCAACCAATAAAGGTAGATGTGATGGAATTAGAAAATCACCATTTGGTAACCATCATAGTAATATTTGATTCGAGCATGAATTAATTTTGGATCACTTAAACTAGAGAGTACAAATTTGATTAATAACAGGATTTTTACATAGTCTCAAAGTATCTCCCTATAAGATACTTAATTCCAAACAGAAAAAGAGTAACTTTACAGGGGAGAAAATTGGAAGACAAAACGTTAGCCAAATACAACCAAGGGCAGTATTGCCAGTAAAAGGACAAATGGACGCCATGTGTCTCCTGATGGGATTCACTGTAAAGAACATGCTGACAAAATGCATACCTAGAACCTAACAGTGAACATTATTGGGGGTCAAAAAACTGACCTGTATTCTTTGTGCACGTCAAGGCCTTGAAAGGCAAAGGTTAAAGAACTGCCCTAGATGAAAGAGACCGAGGAGACATGACAACTATATGCAACACGTGATCTAAGATTTTCTTTATCATAAACAGCACTACTGGGACAAGTGGCAGAATCTGAACAGAGTCTATAGATTGGAAAATAGTGTTTCAATGATAGTTTCTTGATTTTGATAACTGCACTATAGTTACATAAGAGAATGCCCATGTTTTTAGGAAATACGTACTAAAACATGTCAGGGTAAAGGCACGTGACATTTGCTCTTACTCTCAAATACTTTAGAAAATAAAGTGTATCTACATAGAAGATAAAGCGAATGTGACAAAATGTTGATGTTTGAAGAATCTGGTTAAAGGCTACGTGGGATTCTTTGACTATTTCTGGAACCTTTCTACAAGTCTGAAGTTATCTTAAAATAACAAATTTAATATTTTTCCTTAGACTCACCATTGTAAATATTAATAACTACATGAGAATAAAGACATTTGACATCCATGGATTTAATGAAAGTTTTAATTATTCTTCAGGACACCTGAAGATGTGTCATTTGTAATTCGGATGAGCCACTGATCTGAATCTTGTTCACTCAGCTACTAAGCAAGCCTAGCTCACTACCAACCACTCGTACCTCATTACAAATGGGTTGCTCTGTGCCTAGGATTACACATATTGAAACTAGCAGAAAGGAATTAAAAAAAAAATCTATCCCTGCCTTTTTTTTGGGAAAAATAGGCAATTAAGAGAAAAATACTAGATTAAGTATAAAATGGGGTTAGCTTGTAGATTGTACATAAAAATGATTCATAAAAATGATTTGGAAGAAAGACAGGAACTTGTACAAAAAGTCCTGTAGTCACATTTGGGTAATTTGTAAAGGTCTTTGGATTTATCTTTTGAGAATGTCAAGGGTTGGACTATATTGCACAAGATACACTCTGGTTACTTCTGAACTTGCCAATGGTCTAAATTCAGACTCAAACCTCCAATGGATTCGTATCACACTTAAACTAAATCCAAACCCTTACCATGCTCTACACAATTGATACCATTTCATACTTGTCTTTGTAACCTCTTTTTCTACCATTCCACCTGACCCATTCTCTTCTAATCACTCTGGCCTTCTTGCTGTTCCACGAACAAGCTCAGATCATTCCTGATCAGTTTCCATATCTGTGGTTCTGTGGTTCCCTCCACTTGGAACACCTTCCCCTAGATCTCCCTACCTTCTCTTTTCATTCAAGTTTCTCTACCCAGATGTCACCTCCTTAGAACCACCTTCCTTGACTGCCCCATGCCTAAAAGGCCACCTGTCCCATCACCTAACATTGTCAATCTCCTTACCTGGCTTTATTTTTCTTTGTGGTACTTATCACTTAACATACTGTATCTGTTTATTATCTCCCCCCTCCACTATAATGTAACCTCCACAAGGGCAGGGACTAAAGCAGTGCTTGATATATAACAGGCACTAAAAAACATTTGGGAGATGAATAACAAATGTATTGCATTTTTCATTTACATTTTACCCTAAAGAGCATTAAAAATGATTAATACTGTCTTTGCCTCAGGACCTTATGATCTTTTGCAGACTTTGAACAAGTAATTGAACTTTGAGGAATGTGGCAGATGGGAAGTATAAGATTATTTGATACATATAATACAAAGAAGGGAGTAATTTTACTTGGCCAAGTTGGGGGTTCTAGTGAAGGGACCCCTAAGTTGAGACCTAAGATAAGTAGGAGTTAAGTTGGCAAAAAAGTGGGGGGAAGCAGAGGAGGCAGGCATGGAGGCAGCGTGTCTGAGAAGGAACACTGAGGGAGCAAATGACAAGCGCGGCTGTGGACCAGATGGACATGCAGGAGCAGTAGGCCAGGAAAAGCTGCACAGGCCAAGGAGTTTGGATTCTTAAGGCTAATTAAAAGCCACTTAATAGTTGTATGCAGAAGAGTGACATAATAATCAGGTTTACATATTTTAAAGACCACTTTTTAAAAGCTCATAGTGGTCCCGATGAGAGATGATATGGGTGACAATCAGAAAGTAGACCTGTTAACATAATTAGGACACAGAGTCCAGTGCCAGAGCATGCCAAATGCACGCTCAGTTTCATTTCTAGAAATCTTACAATAAGATACTCTCTGAGAATACAGTCAGTCAGCCCTCCGTATCAGTGGGTTCTGCATCTGCGGATATGGAGGGCCACCTGTACTACTCCATTTCGTATCTTGAACATCCACAAGGATTTTGGTATCTGCTGGGATCCTGGAATCAATCCAATCCCCCTTGGATACTGAGAGACAACTGTACCACAAGGCTACGGTGATATGAGAAACTCTGGGAGCTCAGTGTTATATTAATATGGAAAGGCAGTAGTGCAAAGTGAAAGTACAAGTCTTTGGGTTCATACCCTGTTACTTTCTAGCTTTGTGCATGAGAGCAAGTTACTTAAATTTTCTGCACCTCAGTTTTCTCATCCACAAAGTAGGGACGATACATCTATTTTCACAGAGTTGCAATAATTGAGCCAAATAAAGTATGCAAACTGCCAGGTACATGGCTAGACAAGTAAGAATTAAAAAATAAAAACCCCTCATTAACACTGCCTCATAGTGTGACACTGTTTTATTAAACCTTTCCCATTTGTAGATGTGTTTTGCAAAACAAAGTAACTAGGCTATATTTATATCTATGTTATAACACGGTCCAACAATACTGCCTGAATTGTGAGTTACATAGCTTATTTTGCTGTGAGAGTATACAGGTTATTAGACTTTTTATTTTTTAAAACCATTAAAAATTAATCTTCAAAACATTAAAAAATAACCCCTAAGTTAGTAAAGTAATACATTCTCACCTCTTCAAGAGAAGATTCCAAATTCATTCCAAAAGCAACTCCCATTAGTCCAAAGAGCGAAAGAGAAAAGGTTCCCATGGTCAGCTGTAGGTTCAACCTCATCATCACATTACGGTGGCTGAAAAGAACCACATACTTGGATCAAAAGGGCCCACTAACTATACCATATACAGCAAATTCACTAAATCGTCTATTAAAGACCACATGGATTACACAATGTACACCTATCTCTTCCAAAAATAGAAAAACCCACACACTTTCATGTCGTAGTTATAGATAATGATGGTATAATTCCTTCCGAAATGTCATTCCTTAAAAGCTTCATTATTTTATAAAGAAAATACTTATTATTTTATATAATGCTTTCTTACCTGTCCAGATTGATGAAAATAATACTTTGTGAATCATCAATCAGTACCCTAAGCTCCCGAGCTGCATTGGAAAGATCTTCGGCCAATCGGTAGTAGTTTTCCAACAGCAACTCCATCTCTTCTGCATGGTCAATCCCAGTACTGCTCTTTTCACTTCAGTTGAAAGAGTTAACATAATTAACATGTCCTCAGTGTGTGCATCATATATTTAGTACCAAAAACTTCCTAAATTAGTATATAATATTCAGCCACCAGTGGAAAAGCTAGCCCTTGTCTTTTCTATTGTTGTGACTGAGGCCAATCTACAAGTAGCAATGTCAACTGATCCTGAATACACTATACAGATAACTAGACGATAGAGACTAGTTAGCTTCACTGTATCCCATGGCGCCAATCCAAGAGACTCTCATGCAAATATGTGCTACTAGTTATAGGAAAATCCAGATGTGTGAATACTGATGATTAGTGCAAATCCCAAACCACCATCAGGTAAAGCAACACCAAAAATTAAAAATTGACATGAAGAGCATTTCCTTTCCAAGGTGTGTATGTGGCATTTCTATATATGAAGAAAAATGTTTTTGAATGATGTCTACAGTTATTTTGTTCCCCTTTATACTCCCCACCCTACCAAGGAGGAAGAGAAAGGGGAAGGAAGTACCATGTAAAAGGTACTTGTATCGTGAAGCATATTAGAGACAGATTGGCTAAAGCAAAGTGAACAAGAGCTTCTGCTACTATATGTGTCTGTTATCTACCTAAATATTTCCTTATTAGAATATAAAGAACCAATTTTTCAAATTGCTTTAAAAAAAATCTGTACAGACTGTGGAAACTATACTCATTACAAAGATGTATTAACTTCTGATACTGCTCTGCAAAGAAAAACAAAATATTTCCATCTGTATTCACCCCACCTTTCCCATCCCCCATGTGAATTTCTCTCCCTCTCCCATACTCTACTCCTTAGATACATTATTTCAGTAGAGTGTGTGCCAATTTGGTTATCTTATTCTTGAAGATAAAGAATTGTAATTGTCTGTTTATCTTTATATTCATCACATTCCAGCACAGTGTTGGGTATGCAGCATGCACGCAATATATCCTCATTAAATTGAATTAGATGCAATATTGCACAGGGAAAAGGTGAAACATCTGAGGATGAAAAATGCCTACATTCTCTATTCCAGAAAAATGTTCTCTATGACATATCATCCTGAGGAAGAAGAGACAGAAGATTCACCCTAAGGAAATAAATGACAAAGCAGGCCGGAAGTGGTGGCTCACGCCTGTAATCCTAGCACTCTGGGAGGCCGAGGTGGGCGGATTGTTTGAGCTCAGGAGTTCGAGACCAGCCTGAGTAAGAGCGAGACCCCGTCTCTACTAAAAATAGAAAGAAATTAATCAGACAACTAAAAATATATACAAAAAATTAGCCGGGCATGGTGGTGCATGCCTGTAGTCCCAGCTACTCGGGAGGCTGAGGCAGTAGGATCGCTTGAGCCCAGGAGTTTGAGGTTGCTGTGAGCTAGGCTGATGCCATGGCACTCACTCTAGCGCGGGCAAAAGAGTGAGACTCTGTCTCAAAAAAAATAAAAAAATAAAAAAATAAATGACAAAGCATGACTATATACTTACAAGACTTGTGGGTCACTCCATTTTGACAGACAGAGCTCTTCTAGCAACTCTTCTTCATCCAAGATCTCCAAAATTGACTCTTTGAAAATTTTAATATCTGTTTCTAACTCTGATAAACTGTAAGAACAGTTACAAAGAAATGATCAATAGCATAAACTTATAAAAACATTTCACTATAAGAATAGTGTCTTTTTAGGGTATCTTATCATACAATTAAGATATTTTTCTTAAATTCTGGAATGCATTATGATTTTAAATAAAAAGAACAACATGGACTTTCGAGGGACAGAAAAGTGGATTTAAATTTTGATCTGCCATTTACTAGCTATATAAGTTTAGGCAAGTTACTTAAACCAGTTTTCTCACCTTCAAAATGAGTACCATATCAACCACTGAACTGTATTGCTGAAAGGATGGGATGAAATTACTTATGTAAAAAAGGCTTATCTTTTCAATAAATTAGATTATGTGCCCTTTTTAGATCAACCTCTCATGTAGGCTACTTTCCTACTTTAAAAAGTTATAAAACACAAAATTGTAATAATAATTAAAATCAAATATGGCAATGAAGGCACTTAGTGTAATCATACAGTAGAAAACGTCATTACCATTAGCAAGATTAATTAGTATTTTTAAAACAATAATCACACTAATTTTAAGTCTGAATTTATGCTAAAGATTTCACTGTTAAGACAGAGAATTTTAAGATATTTGTCTCTAACTGCCAACTTGCTACCTCATCCATAAGTATTTACCTTTTGCCATTTTGTAGTAAGATGTGCAGTTTGCTTCTGTCTACAGAAGAGTGTTTGGGATCCACTAAAGCTTCCAGTGTCTCAAGGATCAGTGGCTGCAAAATGCTAAGTTTCCCCTGAAGGGTGCTGATCTAGATAACAACATGACCTTTCATAAGAATTAAAACAATCTTTTTAGAATACTCAGAATCAGTGAACCCTCTGATTAAATATAGAAATCTGTAATAGCTAGACGTGCTGGTAACATTTCAGAACATGGTCAATACTAGAATGCCTACTCCACATGTTCAAAAACTACATCTCCTGGGTTCAAAGAACCATGCATAATGTCATCATTAGGCTCAGATTTAGTTCACAAGGAATTAACCCTCATAAAAGTCTTCCCCTTACAGACATTTATTATGAAAGGAATGCGTGGATTCATTAATTAAAATAAATCTGCCATTCCATGGTTAAATATAAACTTTACATTTGGTTACATAATACCTCTATGTTCTTTATAAACAGAATATAGTTCAAAATTCCTATTAATACAAACAAAGCTCTTGTGTGAAAACTAAAACATGACTTGGAATAAAAAGTAAAACAAATCATTGTAAAGTCAGAAGTAAACTTACTATTCTCGTTAACAAAAGCATGATTTGATATTTAGCAGGTATGCAATGATATAGCTATAAATAAATAGTTAAAATAGTGAAACACTTCCACACGAGTTGGCAAACAGCTTAATACTAACTGAAGTAAGCAGAAAAATTAATGATATAAATTCCAGCATATACTGTTTATCTCGGAGGCACAATAACTGTGAGGATGATGTTTTAAATTTGGGCATTGCAAGTCCAGAGTCACGGTGCCTCTGCCAACATCACGTATTTCTTGTATGGAGGAGATTCTTCCAGGTTCAGAAGTCCTTGGGTGGAAAGGAAGACTGGACAGCCAAACTGAGGCAGACTACATCTTTTCAGTATCTAAGAGACACACTAAACCCTCTGCTTAGCAAGGTGTGGACTCAGGTAGTAGATGGGGCAGCTGCTGAGGGTCACAGGTCGTTTGTGAGGCATATCTACTCACGGTAAATCATGGTCCCTCAGGTGGGTTTGGGGAGCTTTCATTTGAATACTTATTTCTTCCCTTTTGCGGAAAACTTATTTCTTCCCTTTTGCGGGGTGGCTGGCCTTGCTTATGTATGGTATTCTTTCAGAAGGAAATCTTCCTGGGTCCCCATTTAATGGCAAGAAGAACATCTATCCCAGTCAGCAGACAACCTGAGCTCCCTCTCTATTCGCCCCATGGCCAATCTCTCAGCAGGACACCATGCTAGGCCAGCCCCTCTCCTTCCCTTCCTGGCTCCCTTTTTAAGGGCCTTGCCTTTCCCCTAACAGCATGAGCTCCTGCTCCAGAAAGCTTACCCAGCTTGTGCAGCCTGTCACTGACCATCCTTTACGTCTTTTCTTTCCCTCTTTTGCTTTTTCCCTGCTTAGCAACTGGGCTCCCGCTAATCACCATTTCATTGACTGGTACTAGCTGGTGCTGTTGCCTCATTAACCTGAGCAGAGAAGGTAGCCATCTACTTCAACAGAGCAAGGCAGACAAAAAAGAAACTTACCAGGATCACGCAACCCCCACCCACCTCATATCCTCTCCACCCTCCTCCCCTCCCACTCTGGTTTGTAGGCTCCTAGCACCAACTCTTGCATGCAGCCAGTTCCTAAACAGCGCTATCCTGACTAATAATGGGAAGAAAAGAAAATGAAAGATTTGTGGGGTCCAGGAAAGCAGTTACCCATCCTTCTTTAGGGCCTAACAGGATCCCCAGGCATCTAATCACTATCAATTTAATGTAGGAGTCATTGGAAGAATTGTGTGTGGTTCCTATGTCAATCTAGACCTAAAAGAGAGGCATCATCATTTACCTACCTCAAACAAAGGATTGTACGAACAAATGAAAGAATGATTTGATGAATGATTTAATACATTTATCACATATAAAGCACTTTTATAATGTATATAGTTTAGAGAATAAAATGGATTGCATTCATAATTTTTTTGGTTTATGTATTAATTTATATCATATTTAGGATGTTCAGTCTTTTGAATTATCACTTCTCAATATAGTTATAAAACTGTGTGAAGTATAGCCAACTTGCCATGTGCTTCATTGACTGCCACAACATAACCCTTAAGAGACTGTATGTATACCTAGAGTCTCTAGTTCTATTTGATTGGGTCATAAAATGTATAAATTAAGTACTTTCTCCATATTGGCATACTTAGAGATGTTTTTGTTTAGGGGAAAGGATGTGGTCAGGGAAAATGTCATTGAAACACTACCAACTTGTTTTCCTACTCAATAGCATTTCAAAACCAGAATAAAGTGAAGAAGCTAAATAAAAACAGACTTACCCAATATTGCAAGAGTGCTTCTATAGCTCTAAACTCAAAGGGTAAAGGGTATGTGACAAGTTGACCCTCTCCAGACAACTGGGAAGGGAGTTCCCGGAACAGCCATTGCTCTAAATTTAAATTACGATAATCTAATATCAGAAGACACTCTGGAGTTATCACAGCTTTCAAATACTGCAAAAACAAAAAACAAAAAACAAAAAAAACAACCAAATATATAAATAGATATGTATACACACACATGCAAGTTGTAGAGCTGTAGGAAAAAACGACATTCATAAAATAGGACTTAACACTTTTGGATTAATACTAACCAAAATCAATGTTCCTTTGGTTTTT